CGCGCCTGAGCAGACCACTACCACGCCGCCCGCGCCTGGACTGACCACTACCACGGCGCCCGCGCCTGAGCAGACAACTATGACGCCGCCCGCGCCCGAGCAGATCACTACCACGCCGCCCGCGTTTGAACAGACCACTACCACGCCTGGACTGACCACTACCACGGCGCCCGCGGTTGGCTCAGTTGTCACAGGTGCGTCGGAATAGTAAGTGACCGGTGTGCGGTGAAGAGAACAGTGTCCCCGTGGCGGGTGATCGGTGCAGGGTTGCATGCCAGGGGTGGATGGCCCCGTGGAACGGCTTCGCAGCTGTGAGTGGTTCTGGGATGTGGCCAGAGCAGCTCAACGCCGACCAGGGAAAGCAATCGGCTCGGTTAATTTGTGCGTGCTTCAGAACAAATGGCAACCCAGTTCATTTTGTTGAAATTTGCCCAGTTAGCAAAGCTTGCTTGGGCAGAATCATCCACCCAGACGGTATGGTCAAATTTTAACAAGAGCTACGATCAACTATAGAAGTAGATTCATCGAGAACAGTTCTGTAAAAAAACTTGGCTTTGGAACCAAGACAGAACGGATCCCCCTTCGAGTCGCTCTGTATTTTCCCAAAAGAAGTCCTGGTCGACCGCAAACATAACAAAGGCGCCTACGACAGATCACGGCCCTGAGAACGTGTCCTCATATTCATACGTGGGGCTGCAGTTGAACTCACCCTGGCCCCGCCAATACCGTTTACCGCGCCGATTTTTCCCGCCACTCAACTCCTCCTCGCTAATCATACTCATCGACAACAGTGTCCATTATTCCGGCCGCTCAACCCCTCCGTACCCATGGACACAGCAACGCGTCGACTCGCACTGCTTCGGGACGTTCCAACGGCAGCTCATTTGAATACGTAGCATCTGTCTCTACCAACGCCCTTACCGGTGCCAACCCAGTAGCCGGATGCGGCATGCTGTTCCGATACGGGGCCGTCACATACAGCCGGCATTTTCAACACACAAGGTCAAAGAACTCTCCCTTGAACTCGGTCCCTCCATCGACTAGCACAGCAAGCGGCACGCCTACCCGCACCAACGCCTGCAAACAACCGACAACACAACAGGCAGTCCCTGCAGAAATCTTCTGGTGGTCAGTCCTCATCGTAAAAGGAGCAGCACACAAGTAGTCTTACCACCTTTCCACGAGGAACCGTACAGCATACAACTCCCTTTCTCGTGTGTCCCAACTCTGTTGACATTCGTCCGGTTCCTTGCTGCCGAATTCAACCGGAACACTTCCCTGCTTTTGTCTCTGTTCTGGCATTGCACCAATTGACTTCTCACTCGCGTCGGTCATGAGCACAAACCCACCGGTCGTGAGCACAAACCCACCTGCGTCCTTCAGCGCAGCTAACAATCATCTATTGTTTTCTTCACGTTATTCAGCATGTCTGCCATACCAGCAATCTTACCCGCAAACCCGGGAATATGTCTCTTCAAGTTTGAACCCACCGCAATCCCTTCAAGAATGTTGCGCGGCGCGCTTGCGTCCACCACGTTCGCCACAACACCTTCTTAGGCTCTGGTTTAACGCCCGCCGCGCTCACAAGGAACCCTAACAGCTTGACCTCCTGCTTCACGTGCTCCCCTTTCTTCAACCTTCATCACAGCACCTGGTGCCTGTTCCAACCCTTCGAACAGCGTGTCCATGTCGTTATTCCCGATCAATCCAAAGACCCGGTCCATAACCTGCCGGAAGAGTATGGACGAATTCTTTGCACCAAACGACATCTTGGTGTGCTCGAGTGCGCCTCTATGGGACACAAACGCCGTGTATTGTCCAGAAGTCATCATTACAGTCCAGGCATATGTAGTACTTGTTACCAGCAGCGGCAGCTCCCACAGCAGCGGCAGCTCCCACAGCGGCGACATTAGATAGGCTTCCAGAGTCATCCCCTTGGAGTGGTTCTCCACTCTATTCTTTTAATCTGCAACCGATGCGTGAGACTGGCTAGTAGAGACAGTCGTTCTTCAGCGTTTGTAGTAATTTAGTGTATTTTACGTAGGATTTTTATGTTGTCCCTCGTTGGAACGTCGTTGGCACTACTTGGTTTTGTGCAGAGTGATCTGCCTGCCGCCGGCGATGACCTCTGTATCCATTTGAATAATGATACCGGGAATTGTGTGTCAACGAAAGGCGGATCTACCAACGAAACATGTTTGGATAATTGTAAAGAGAAGCACTGCGTGCGCGGCTACTACCGTGGAATGGTACAGGGGCAAACTCCCACAGCCTCTGACTGCTTTGTTCCTGCTAAATTTGAAGGGGTCGCATCGTTGACCTTCGGTAAGGCCGCCTCTCCGCAAGACTGTCAGACGATTTGTCAAAGGAACGAGACCTGTTTCGGTTTTCAGTTCAGCGGAAAGGACTTCAGTTGCAAAGGGTTAACCAGGTCAGATTTTGAAAGCTGTTCATCGAATAGCAATGCTGTGTGCTCATTCGCTTCTACGGCCCAGCAAAGTTGCTCCCATCCTGGGTGTGGATGTCAGGCTACCTGCATGATTACTGATTCAAATACGGTTGCTGGGCCTGTCAACTGCGGGGCGGTTGAAACAATCACTTGTGGTGCTCCCATCACGCAGCCACCAACCACCACCACACCGTCTGATGAGCACGCAAGTACCACTACCGCGGCGAAACCAACCATTACCACTACCAACCCGTTTGTCACAACTCCTGGTAATAAGAAAACTACCACACCCGCTCAGGAGCAGACTACCACCACACCCGCTCAGGAGCAGACTACCACCACGCCCACTCAGGAGCAGACAACTACCACCACGCCCACTCAGGAGCAGACAACTACCACCCCGCCGCGGTCACACCGCCGGAACTCCCGAAACCACCACGCCGCCCGCGCCT